TGGTTCAGGGCTCAGGAACTGAGGCTGACGACCTGCACCTTGCTGGGATCCGGGTGCGGTCGCCCGGGAGATCTGCTACCGTCCCAGTTCCGAACACGTGGCCGGCGGATGGGGACCTCCTCTCCAGCCATGGAGCAGCCCTTCAAGAACGCCCTGCCACAGAGCTATACCCCCTGCCCTTTTTCTGTTATCCTGAGACAGGCTGGCTAATTTAGCCAGGAGGACTTATTCAACACTGCTGGGATTTCCCGCCGACCCCGGCCTTGAGGACTGAACCTAGGGCCTTTGCATTGAGCTACCTCCCAGCTCTTTTTTTTTTTTTTTTTTTACCGGGCATCGAACTCAGGACCTTTTGTTTGTGAGGCAGGCGGTGGAACCACTGTCCCTGGCCCTTTTTTTATTTTGAGACCGGGTCTTACTAAATTGCAAAATTTCCCAGACTGGGCTGGAATTTGCAATCCTTCTGCCTCAGCCTCCAGGCTGCTGGAGTTACAGGTGTGGGCCACTGTGACCGGCTTCCTGCCTTTCTTTTCCCCTGCTCTGGAAATCTTTTGTTTTGTGCGCAGGTGATGGAACACAGAGCTCCGTCCCTGAGCTACGCCTCAGCCCTGTTCACCTTGGGTGTTTACACCCCTGAGGTGCAGACTGCATCCAGCCAACCCAGCCTCTCCCTTACGCTTTCTGTGGGCCCAGCACAGAGTGGCTTTATGGTTTCAAAATCAACAGACTGGTGACACATGAATAGCACAAGAATTTATGCCAGGCATGGTGGCACAGGCCTGTAATCCCAGTACCCAGGAGGCTGAGACAGGAGGACTGTGAGTTGAAGGCCAACCTTGGCTGTGTAGCCAGTTCAGGTGCAGCCTGGACTACATAACAAGACCCTGCAACAAAACAAAACACAGCAACAACCAGAGAATGTGTATGTCGGTGCTCCTAAGTGAAGAGTTACCGGACATGGTTGAGCTCTGTGTTTGCCCCTGTCTGGGAGCCCTCCTGCCTACCTGGGTGGACCAGGGTGCTGGACAGAGACAGTTACGCCCACACAGCCAAAGAGGTTTGGTGTTGCGTGGAACAAAATGTGTCTCACTGTGTAGCTCAGGCCAGCCTTGAACTCACTGTGTAACCCAGGCTGGCCTTGAACTTGTGGTGATCTTCCTGCCTCAGCCTCCTGAGTATTGGAATTACAGGTGTGCGCCACCACGCCTGCCTTAGATTTTGCCATTTTGTTTAACTTTTTCTATTGGGAAATCTCCAACATACATAATGTAGCATATAGTACGCATAGAAGTGTCAGGAATCCCTGAATCTCTTGTGTGCCCTACACCACCCGTCTCCCTCCTTACCGGGTTCACTCTGAAGCTGATTCCTCAGTTCAGATAATTTCATCCATTCAGATCTTAGCATGGAAACACATGAATTTTAAACATTTATCCCCAATGCTATTATCACTTTAAAATAATTGCAGTTGACTCCTTAGTATACTCTGTGTATGTTTGCTTATCCCATAAATGTTATTTTGTAGAGGATTTGTTCAAATCAGGACCCAAATTCAGTCCACACTTAGCAAGTACTATAATTGATGACTCTAACCTTTTTTTTTGGTACCGGGGATCAAACTCGGGTCCTTGTGCTTGCAAGGCAGGCGGTAGAACCGCTGAGCTAAATCCCTGGCCCGATGACTCTAATCTTATTGCCATCCTGGTTTTCAGTAGTGTTTGGCCTTGGGCGAGGCTGTTTGGCCTGGGGAGACTGCCCAGGGTACCCACAGCAAGCAGGCACCTGGGCTTTGTGTCCCAGGGCCCAGCCCTCTTCTGTCCCTGTGCTGAGAGTGACAGAAACGTGCTTGGAGATAGACATCCAATTCCGTGACTTCAGATATTCTTCAAGTCTCTTTCTTAGACTTGAAGAATAAGATGGGGAAGGAATATTTCCTTTCTGTGAGGGGATAGAAGCATTTGAGTGCAGCATAATCCAGTCCAACATTGGCTTTCTTCCTGATTCTGCTAAGTCCTTTGGTTGGTCGGTTTGTTTTCGGTTTTTTGAGACTGGGTCTTGCTAGATGGCCCAGACGGGCCTGCAATTCACAGTGATCCTCCTGCCTCAGCCTCCCAAGTGCTGGAATTATAAGCATGCACCACCACCACCTCCTGTGCCCCCTTCTTATTTTTCTATAACATCTGTCATGTTTATGCGGCAAGAAGTCAGCTTTAGATGTGAATTTGGATCAGACGCCTTGGTATCTGGCTCTTGATTAGGTCTCGTCGTCTGGTCTTCTGTGTGGTTCACCTTCCCAGATTTCGTTGAACACATTTCCACTGAGAACGGGACACACACGTGGCCTGCTGTTTTCTGCGTGGGGAGTGCGGTGAGTTCGGCGCCCTCTGCTGCCCTCTCCTCCTGCCCCAGCCTCCCGGGTGCCGGGATCACAGGCGTGCACCTCCGTGCCTAACTATGGAGGATGTCAGTGTGGACAGAGACACAGTCAGAACCTGCTGGAGGCAGCCTGGGGAGGAAGAGGGGCAGGAAGACTGGCTGTTTCTGCTTACTACAGTCTATTGCAGTGCATCCTCACTCTGTATGTGTGTGGATGTCATCTCCTGGTCCTGCTGCCTGACCCGGGCATCCCCCGCTCCCTCCCACTGGCGGGGGTGGCGTCTTCCTCATGTCTTCATCTGTGCTTGTTTTTCATTCGCCCTTGGGCACCTTCTGAGTCTCGTCGCTTCTCAGAAAAAGCCCAGTGCATCCTCAGGCCTTTCTCTCGCCACCTACAAGTGTCCCCGAGGCAGAGGACAGCTGCACGCCCAGAGGCCATGCACACCCATGTCCCTGTCCCCCAGTCCCCAAGAGCTGCCTCCTGATGTGGGCCCCTTTCTTCCCGGGTGAGTTGGGTGCCGAGTCCCTGCATCCGGAACCCTTCACGCTGCGCTCTCCCTGCTTCCAGATGTGGATCCAGCTGCTGTACAGCGCCTGCTTCTGGTGGCTGTTCTGCTATGCGGTGGACGCCTACCTGGTGATCCGCAGATCTGCGGGACGGAGGTACTCCCTGGGGACACGAGGGCACAGTTTTCCTGGGCGGAGTTTGAGAGGCCGACAGGATGGGCACTTCGTGTTGGCCCCGGGGCTCGGACCGCCTGGCCCTGTCTTCTGGCCCACCTGTCCCACCCCTGTAGCTGCCACCGGTGCCACCTGCCTGAGCGGGGTCCTTCACTGATACACTGCCCCTGTCTGTCTCCACTCTGTCTCGGGGTCCCGGGCTCGGTCCGACTTCTCTCTGCTTACCCCGCTGACCTCTGGACTTTGAGTGGCACCACAAGCAGTGGTGATACTGCTTGCCAGGAGGGATGGGAGGCCTGTGCCACCATGCCCGGCTCAGCCTAATGTGTGAGCTTTAGATTTATTGTACTGATGTGTATATGTGGATAAAGGGTCTTCTCATCACACTTACATGCAAACAGACACCACTCTGTAGCCGCCCCCCAGGACCCATAGCTCATGGCCCTTCTACTCTGTCCTGTCACACGGGTCTCCTTCCAGAAGCTTCTAGAAGCTTCCACCTTCCTTGGCTTGTGGCCCTTTCTGCCTTCTCCAGAGCCAGCCAGGGATGTAGAGCCTCAAACTCCCATCTGTTTGGTTCTTTTTCTGTAGCTGGTAAAGATCTTCTGCTTTTTCCTCCCTCCCTGCCTCCCTCCCTCCCTCCTTCCTTCCTTCTTTCTTTTCTTTTTGTGCCAGGGATTGAACTTGGGTCCTTGTGCTTGCAAGGCAGGCAACAGAACCACTGAGCTAAATCCCTGGCTCTTCCTCATTTTTTTTGTACTTGTCAGGATCCAAACCAGGACCCACCTGTGCTAGGCACATGCTTTAGCCTTGAGGTATATCCCCAGCCCAGAGGGTCTTTGCTGTTAGGGATCTGTGGGATTCCTTTGGGTCACTTGGACGAACCAGGATGTCCACCCAGTCTCAGAACATTCTTAGTCACACGTGTGTGATGATGTGATTTTTTTTCCATATATTCAACGTATGCATGAATACATAAAAGAATATATCCATAGTTTCTGGAGATTAGAACATGGGCATCTTTGGGGACCCTTATTCCAGTTATTACAAGTATTTGCATACCTGTTTTCTGTTTGTTTGTTTTGGGGTTTTTGTTTTTTGGTTTTTTTTTGTTTTTGTTTTTGAGACAGGGTCTCACTATGTAGCTGAGACTGACCTGGAACTCACTATGTAGCCCAGGCTGATCTTGAACTCACAGTGATCCTCCTGCCTCAGCCTCCTGAGTGCTGGGATGACAGGCGTGCACCACCATGCCCGGCATGCATACCTGTTTTTGGAGGTCCAGTTAAGTTTCGTAGGCTGGCCTTGAACTTGTTACCTCCTCCTGCCTCAGCCTTCAGAATTACAGGTGTGTACCTAGTTTGGCTGCTTAGTTTATGAACAGTCTTGTCTCAGACTGATCCTACTTCTAGACTTGATTTCATCTAGAATCTTGTCCATCCCAGATTCTGTGCCTGGCCCCCCCATGCTGGGGTTTGGAAGACGGGCAGAGTTATCACTCTGCTTCTCGTTTGTCACCCTCCTATGGGGGCTTTGTGCCTGCAACGGGCAAAACCTTCCCTCCGGGAACACTTGGCCAATAAATGGTGTGAGACCTGCGTCCCCCAGAAGCAATGTGTGTTATTCTGTTCATTGAGCCAGGCGCAGAGCCAGGGGTGTCCCACTCTCCCTGTGTGCAGGACGAGAAGGCTGCCACCTGCCCTTCATCGTCTGTTGCCCTCACAGGTGGCTGCAGGGTGTGCCCAGAATATGGGAGGGTGGGAGAGACGTGGGCGTGGCCAGCTCAAAGAGCCACCAGTGAGCAGTGGCTTGGGGTGAGGTAGTGTTGCTGCTGATCGTTGGCTGGGTGTTTGGATTCGGGTTTGAGAGCTTTCCCACCTTGGGCGTCTTCCTGGGCCAGGCTAGTGGGCAGCTGAGTGGGACAGCAGGCACAGGGTCCCACACCCTCCAAGATGGCACCCGCCATGGCCTGGACCCTAACTGCCCCACTAGGATCAGCTTCCTGGTTCATAGATGGCGTCTTCCCACTGAGTCCTCACGAGTAGAAGGGCAATGGCTGGCATAACCTGTTTGATGAGGACACAGATTCCCACCCATAAAGGCTCTGGTCTTCATTACCTCCTCAGAGCCCTGCCTCTTAACACTATGATCTTTGGGATTGGATTTCAGCATAGGAAAAAACTTTTCTCTCGTATGAGGGATTGAATCTAGGGCCTTCACATTAACCCACCTCCCCAGCCCTTTTAATTTATTTATTCTGAAACAAGATCTCACTAAGTCACTAAGTTGCCCAGGCTGGGTTCAAACTCACGATCCTCCTGCTTCAGCCTCCCTAAGTGTTGGGATCACAGAATTACGCCACCCCTCCTGGATTTCGGTAGGAATTTTGTGGAGACTCATATTCTGATGAGAATGCAGAGAAGAAGTGAACAAGTGCTCTCAGAGGACTCTATAGATTAATTACCTTTTCATAGGTTTACAGAGAATGAGTCATGTTTAGGTTAGGTGGTAAAAATGGCCATTTGTATTAGGATGGGTATCATTAAAATTGGAGGTGGGCCTGGTGGCACTCACCTATAGGCCTGACTGCTCATGAAGCTGAGGCAGTATTATTTGAGCTCAGGAGATAGAAGCCAGTTTGGGCCACATAATGAGACCCTGTCTCTAAACAGAACAGTGTAAAAAGGGCTGGGAGATATAGCTCAGTGTCACGGCCTCGGGTTCAATCCCCCTCCCCCCGAAAAAGAAAAGGACAAGTTAAACATGGAGCAGTTGTTTGTAGCTCAGTGGTAGAGTATTTGCGTGGCATATGTGAGGCCTTGGGTCTGAGCCCTAGGACAACAAAAAAGCAAAGCAAATGAAAAACTTAGAAAAAAAGAGAAGAAAAACTTTAGAAAATTCTATCCCCCAGCTCTGTACACACACACACACACACACACACACACACACACACACACACAAAAAAATACTAAGTATACAACAGCGGTTCCACTGCTTGGTGGGGTTGAAAGCAGGGACTGGACTGCATGTTTGTGCATGTGCACAGCAGCACCATTCCTAGTAGCCCAGTGGTAAGAACAACACAACACACAGTCTGTCCACAGCATAGGATAGAATTCAGCCCTAAAAAGCTGTGAAGTGGGCAGGTGATTTAGCTTAGTGGTTCCGCTGCCTGCTTTGCAAGCACAAGGTCCCGAGCTTGAACCCTGGTACCAAACAAAACAAAAAAACAAAGCTATGAAGTGTTGCAACATGGATGGACCTCAAAAACGCACTGAAAGAAGCCAGGCACATCAGACAAGGTGGTCCCACTATGTTTCTGTTTTCATGAAATGTTTAGAGATGGCATGGTGGTGCTCACCAATAATCCTGACACTCTGGGAGGCTGAGGCAGGAGATTTGCAGGTTCCGGCCCAGGCTGGGCAACTTAGACTCTGTCTCAAAATAAAATATAAAGGGCTGGGGATGGAGCTCAGTGTGAAAGCCCTGGTGATTGTCTGCCCAGGGGCCCGAGGGAATGGGGGGGTGAGCGCTAATGGGGAGAAGGCTCTGTTTGGAGTGGCCAAATGTCTTGGAACTAGGTAGTGGCGTGGGTTAAACAGGACTGCAGACAAGCCAAGTGTTCCTGAATTGTTCCTTTTACAACAGCTTTGTATGCTATGGATGTGAATTTCTTCCTCATTGAAAAGCAGAAAACGCAAACCAAGAGCAGCCCTGCCGCAAGCTCCGGAAGCCCTTCGTAGAGAGCTTCCGGTGCTTGCGGGGGGGGGGGGGCGGGTCCCAACCCGGAAGCGGAAGTGCCTGGGAGGTGCCCGCCCTGAACCAGGGCCTCCCTCCCCTCTGCTGTCTCTCCCCAGCACCATCCTGCTCTACCACCTCATGGCCTGGGGCCTGGCCACTCTGCTGTGTGCGGAGGGAGCCGCTCTGCTCTACTACCCCTCGGTGTCCAGGTGAGCCTCCTGTCTTCTCTTGCAGGGCGTGAAAGGCCGACTCCTCAGGCTGTTGTCACACGCACGGACCCAGCCAGTGAGACCCCCAGCACTGCAAAAAAATAAACTCAGTCCCATTAATGCAGCTATTTGCGAAGCCTCAAGGTCCCTGGCAAGGATGAATCCTCTAACTTATCCGTATTCTCTGCCGTAGGAATAGAACCCAGGTCCTTGTGTATGTTAGGCAAGCACTCTCACTGAGCCATATATACCTGATCCTGTGCTAGCTGTTAATGGAGAAAAGGAAGTGGACAGTGTCCTTTTACAGTTTCTGGATGTATAGGTCACGGATCAGCATGGTATAGCCCTCAGGACAGATCTGGCCCTCTCTCTGTGTTTTTAAATAAAGTTTTATTGACACAGTCATGCCCGTTAGTTTCTGTGCCAGCTACGTCTGCTGCTTTGCTGTGAGGTCAGAATTGAGTGTTTGCAGAACTTTGCCAGTGCGTGCCAGTGTAGAATTCTCCCCCTTCCAATTTGACTCTCTCAGCTACTCAGATGGCTCCCACTTGGTGTTGCCTGCTCAACCATGCACAGTCACAGGGACCTCTCTGCGGAGCCATCCATCCCCTCCACTGTCCCGGGAGCCTGAAAAGGACAGATGTGGTGTCACTCACGGCGGGGGCACAAAATGGGTCTCATTGGAGAGAGAGTTTCTGCTCCTTGCCCTCAACTGTGATGCCTGGGGATCGGCGGCTGGAGAAGGGGGCGTCTGAGGCTGAGGGTACCCTTGCTGTGGAGTACACAGGCACCCCTGAGGTGTTGCTGTGCGCTTCAGGAGGCTTTGGCTTGATTTAAGGTCTTACTCTGCTGCCATCTCTCTGTCCCTATTCGTCTGTGTGTGTGTGTGTGTGTGTATCTGTGGAGTACTGGGGATTGAACCCAGGGTCTTGGCGCTGACCTACATCCTTTTTTAAAAATTTTGAGGGGCTCTCTTGTTAAGTCACTAACTTGCTCGTGCTGGGCTTAGACTTGGGATCCTCCCACCTCACCCGCCCAGAGTGCTGGGATAACCAGGGTGCACGCCCAGCCGTAACATCTCCAAGGGCACAGCCACACTCCAGACTGTCACTCAGTTGCTTTTCTTTATCTTACTTACTGATAGATTGATCTGTGCAAGGCTGGGGTGGCCTCTAGGTCTTACACAGGCCAGGCCAGCACAACACCACCAAAATGCACCCTAGCCTTTGGCTCTTGCTCTCTTTCTCTATGTCGGAACCCCTTCTCTTCCTCCTGTCTTCCCTGACACTGTTAGTCTTTCTGGAGCATGTTTCGGGTTCCACAGCTGCAGGGAATCAGAAGAAAGCTGTGAGGTGTACAGTCATCTTCTTGTGGCACCACCAGACAGGTATTGCCGTTTTCCTACCTGCTTTTTTTTTTTTAATTTGCATTTTCTGCTGCCCTCCTTTTTTTGTTGTTGTTGGTTTTATTGAGCCAAGCTCTCCTTGTGTAATTCAAACTGGCCTTGAATTAGTGGCGATCCTCCTGCCTCAGCCTCCTGGATGCTGGGATTACAGGCCACCACTCCCAGTCCATCTTTCCCCTTCTGGTTTGACCACCAGAAAGACCACCTTGATCTGTGAAGATTAGGAGCACTTCCATTCCTGTCATTCCACCTTTCTCAGCCCAGCCCCGGGACTTTTCTGCTTCTCTCTGCTTGGAGTGAGCCGTCCCCACTCCCTTTGGCCTCCGGTCCAGACTCGTCCCCTTTGCCCTCTCCTTGCCATTTATTTGCAAGTTGTTTGCTCCCACCACGTGGCCTCTGTGCACGTGGCTCTGCACCCTGTCCGGAGCCCAGCACTGGAAACCTGTCCTTTCTCTAAGAAGAGCCTCCAGAAGCCCGCGGCCACTCTTCCTAACAGGAGAGCAGAGCTCCTCGGTATCCACGGCCTGTGCATCTTGAGCTGCTGTGTGGCAGGGCCTGGAGGCCCTGTTACTGGCTGAAGCCAAGGAGGAAGGACAGTGCTCAGCCAGCGAGTCACCTGAGCACCTGTCCCTCCGCTTTGACTGGACGTTTTTCTTCAAAGGGGCCTGGCACACAGAATCCACATCACAGAGTATTTTCGTGCCTGTACTTTTTCCCCCCCAGTATCAGGATTGAACCCAGAGCCATGCATGTGCTAGGCAAGAGGTGCTCAGCCACTGAGTTCCACCCCCCCACCCCCAGCTCTTTCTGTGTTTTGAGACAGGGTCTCTCTTTCTCTTTTTTTTTTTTTTTTTATTTTTTTTTTTTTTTGTGATGGCATTGAGACAGGGTCTCACTATGTAGTTGAGACTGACCTGGAACTCACTAAACTCACTGTGTAGCCCAGGCTGGTCTCGAACTCACAGCGATCCTCCTGCCTCAGCCTCCCGAGTGCTGGGATTACAGGTGTGCACCACCACGCCCGGCTCACAGGGTCGCTCTTAAATTGCCTGGGCTGGCCTTACACTTGTGATCTTCCTGCCTCAGCCTCCTGAGCAGCTGGCATGACAGGCGTGGGTCACTGCGTCATGATCAGCACGTCTTCTGCCTTACCTTTCTGCAGCGCCCCCTCCCTGTCAGAAAGCTTTAGGGGCCTCCCATTTATTAGAGAGAAGCGCGATGACCTGCCTTACAGCCTGCACTTTCTTGCTTGTTCTCAGAAAAAAGCGGGAGTCTGTAGGTGGAGCCGAAGCACAGTCACGCCCTCCCCTTCCTACCTCCCATGCAGGTCAGTGGGCAGGTATTAGCGAAGCCTCTCTTTTAAGGGTGACCCGCTGTCCCCCCTCAGGTGTGAGAGGGGCCTGGACCACGCCATCCCCCACTACGTCACCACGTACCTCCCGCTGCTGCTCGTCCTGGTGGCCAACCCCGTGCTGTTCCACAAGACTGTGGCTGCAGGTAAGGACACAGCGCTCTGGACACCCTGCTGGGGGAACAGCCCCAGGCCTTGGCTCCGATGACCATCCACACTGTCCTGGCAGGATTACCCAGGACAGCTGGCCGAGACTTGAGCAGGTATTGTTCAGCTGGAGAAGGGGATCAGGTGAAAGAGGTGAAAACGACCAACCAACTTAATCAGGGATGACACTGGTTCCGTGCTGGTATTTCTTAGTTTGAGGCCAGGACTAATTGATTCTTCATTTTTGTGCCAGGCTGTGCCCTTAGCATGCCCTGGAGGCCATGAAGCTGGCCTTGGGGAACTCAGGGGTGAGACAGGTGCAGGAAGAGCCAGAAGTGGATGGAAGGGAGGGCCTGGTCACTCCCATCATGCACCTGGCAGACAGCAGGAAACAGGAAGTGGGGCAGGGACATGTGTCCGCAGTGCTGACAACTAGATAAGAGCCTACAGAGGGTACCTGCCTTCTGCCCCACTGTCTCACCAAGGGGCTGTGTTCCCACTGTCCTAGGCTGCTGGGGGCTTCTTGAGCAGAGTTGGAATAAGGAAATCTGCCTCATCAGGTGGTTGGAGGATCAGCTGTTGGTTGTCGAACTTTTTTAAAGCATTGTTGAAAGTAAATGATTTTTTTTTTTTTTTTTTTTTTTTTTTC